TATTTTACTGTTGTGATTTTTTTTGGATACACCTGTATTGCAGTTTTTGTTATATAAAGTTTTTGGACAGTATATTTTTGTATTTTATTGATTGTGTTGTTACACGTGCATTTTTGTCAACATACTTGCAGGTTCATAAAGGACATGTACCATGCTCATTTCCCAAATGAGGAATTTCTGTTATCAGGACAAATTGGACAGCGCAAACACGAGTCCGCACTAGAGAATATTTACTGTATTCCCCCCGCCCCCAATCTTCTTCCAGTGAGATCATTGTAGTCTCCGCCCAGACCACATCCTCTTTCCTCAGAAGTGTTTTTGCGAAGGCAGGGACACAGTGAAAGGCCTTGTTAAAAAGCAATGCCACACTATTTATTGGCACTTAAGAATAAATGTCCACCAAAATCTAGCGTTGACATAAGGTCCTACTTACCGTCATGTTTGGGCACATGCAGATTCTATTGGTTGGTTCCCACTGTTGGAGGGAGAAAGTACCTATTGCTTGGAAATGAATGTTCTGAATGTTTCACGTCTTCAAACGATCACTTTTACAACATTCCTCCAAAATCACAATGTTCCATCACTGGTGAGCTATTTTGAGAACAGGCCCACGGGCTAGTCTTTGAGATCCTTGGGAGGCCACGGACACCGTGTTGGTGGGCCCTGCTGTAGACTAATAACAGTCTATCTGTTTTTATTTCAATTATTGATACATTTTCGTAGCCGTTAAAACATACGGGGTGTGGGGTTTATTCAACCAGGCTTTCTGGATGTTTGATGCTTTATTATCACCATGAAGACCGTTAAATATAAGGTCGTTTAAATTGACCCCACACGCTCGTCAACACCAAGTGACACACAAGCATTCTCTGTCTCATTGATTTACAGTGTCTTTCCTTTTTGTGCTATCCATCAATGTGGCACATGGTCTCAGAGGTGTGTCACCAGAGATAGATCATTTAACACTGTCAGCCGCTCGCTGCGCTCCAATGTCTCTTTGACTGTTCTAATGATACGCCCCCGCATTTTACAACCATTGGGTGACAGAAAGGAGTTTGAGCATCTTACTCAGGAAGGAATTGACATTTTTTTTCTCCAAGGGTCACGTTTAGTCGTGATCAGTACTAACCCTGCAGTGCAGGCTCTTGTTTTGCTTGGCTGAAAGTAGCGGTCAATCCATACAGGGTTTTACATGACTACATTTAGAGCTCTGGCAGGATGCTATCAGTCAGTGATTCACAACCTTAATTGAGCCAAGGCGCATTTTTGAAGTTTGAAAAATCGCACAAGACTCCACCAAACAAAATGTTCACAAAAAGAGGATAAATAAGTCAGTTGGATATTAGATTTTTTTATTTGTTCTTTCTGTCACTATAGGTTGCTGGCATAGATAAATGGACAAAGCTACTTTATTTGTTATGAACAAATAATTTTCTCATCAATGAAGTAAAATGTTTCCCGCGGCATACCTTGGAGCTCTCACGGCACACTGGTTGGGAATCACTGCTCTAAGTCACCAATTTTAAGGACAACTTTCACTCAAACTTAACACAAACATTGTCTGCATTGAGCATTGTCGGAGTACATCAATTACAATGTAATACATCTTTATTTATATAGCGCTTTCACAACAGCTGCAGTAGTAATAAAGCGCTTTACAAAACATTTAACAATGACATTAGAGTACCATCAGCTAAATATCAATCATTGATAAGAAATACATAAGTCTCACTGCAAAAGTCAAAGTATACTTTTGGTTAAAAAAAAAAAAGAAAACCCCAACCTGCAGACAGTAACATCCTGATGTAATCCCCGACAGAGAAAAGCCATTTGCATGATTAAATTTATAAATGCACCTCAGGCTTTGTCCGATGATGTAATATATGCAGATATTTTATTGCACATTGCTTTTGGAGTCAGTGCGGTTCCATTCATCACATCTTGATTCCCTCAGGCTCGCAGTTCATTTTGCAAAAAATAAATAAATAAATAAAAATACAGAACTCAATAAAAGTACATTTACCTGTAGCAACGTCATACTTTTCTTTCTGTGGCATTCCAGGGGAGTAATGTAATGGAGGAGCAGGACTTGCGAGAGATTGGGATCTCAGACCCAGGCCACAGAAAGAAGATCCTGCATGCAGCACGTTCCCTACCCAAGGTATAAACCACATTCAGTTGCCTGCAGAGACAGAAGTGCCAGTCTCGCTTAGATTCATATTAGTGACTGTGGTGGAATGACTTGCTTCTTGCAGGTGAAAGCACTGGGCTGTGACAGCAGCAGTTCCCTCTCCTCCTGGTTGGAGAATCTGGGCCTGAATGAGTACCTCCATAACTTCCTGGCCAGTGGTTACCGCTCTCTGGACTGTGTCAAGAACCTTTGGGAACTGGAAATTGTCAATGTGCGTAATTAAGCCCGATGAACATGGATTGTGAGGAGTCTCAATGCGGGTTTGTGGAAATTGGGATTTCTGATTCTGGATGTTTTTCTCTGCTCTCTTGAATCCAGGTCCTCAAGATTACACTGCTTGGTCACAGGAAGCGAATTATTGCATCATTAGCAGAGAGGCCTTATGAAGAACCTCCCATCAAGCCACCGCGGTTGTCTCAGATCAGGGTGATTGCAACCTTTTGTGTAGAAGAGGACTATAATCTGTTCAGTTCAGCCATGCTTGGCTGGTTTGATTGTGGTAAATTGCCGTGCATAGGATGCACCCCGCCCCCCCCAAATGTTCCAGAATCGAGGGGGAGTAGTACACACGGGTGTTAATATAACGCAAACTTTTTTCACCTTATGATGTTTACCAGTGCTAGACAGTACCTCGGCATCGTAGCAACAATATTTCATGCAATGCGTCACGCCGCCAACACGGTAGGAGGTCAACTTCAAAATAAACCGTGCCCAGGCAAATAATATACAGACATCAATGCCTAAGTCAGCTTTTATTTTCAATTTGTTTTCATTTGAAACATGTTGCAGCGTAACAGCTAATTTGACTTGTTTTCCAGACCCTGAGGCATTACCATCAGAAATTATGGCTACTTGCTGCGACACAACGGCATCCTGAAAAAACATTCAATCGCTGATTAAGGGCACTGCAAAAAATGACTTGATTACGCAGAGACTGTATTCTACCGCGCCTGTTGCCAGCGCTCAGCGCCGGACGCCCAAGTGGCTAGCAGCGCTGGGGCGCGCTGTCAAATTACCTTTCAAAGGCACTTTGTTTGACACAAATGACGATGCGCACTTTGATGCTGACAGCCCGATACAGGTGGCGTTGCCACTGTTCACTTTGTAACAAACCAGGCTAACTCAAATGTGCTGTTTTTAGCCGGCGACATCACTACAGTCATTGTGATGTCACTTTACAAACAAGTGGTGCGTTTATGAGCTCGTACATGTCAGTACTTAGCTTGACAGGCTCATCAAAACCCCTAGACAGCAACACTCAACAAAGGATTTATTTTACTGTCCTCGCCGACCCTTCTGGCAGTCTCTTCAAACCAGGACAAGTAAAAGGGAGAACCTTGACCAAAACAGTGAAAAAGAGGGCATTTTTCAACCATCTTATTTTATAGAGGAAAGTGAGACTGTGTTATGGGAATATTAAAGATATGCATCTGCACAAATGTGACCAGATGATAATAATGGACAGGAGCAAATCAGGGTACCGTATTATACACAGGTACAGAGTAAAAAAAAAACTTTTTTAGTTAGATTTTGCAGGAAGGTATTATACACGGGAGCATATAATACACAGGATTTTACCGTATTTACGTTGATCATCAACAAATTATATGTGATTGTCTGCAGTGCCAAGACCTCCCAGCATCCCAGTCCTCATTATCACTTGGTCAGATGGAGTCCTCCACGTGTCAGTCCATGGATCCTCTGCTTCCCGCCGGGGAACCAGTGAGGAAGAGAGTGCCAGATAACAACTACGACGTCACCCAAAGACATCGCAATGAACGTCGCAGATCACATGTGCGTTTGTCAGCAACTTCCTCTTCCAGAGATATCTATGTTAGTAAGAAGCACCTGCCGGAGGTCTTGCTGTTGCTCTCCAGGAACGGCAAGAGGAGCGGCACCGGGAATCTCGTCTGATTCTTCGCCCACCTAGTCTGGCAGCTCCATACGCTCCGGTCCAGAGCTGGCATCATCAGCCAGAGAAGCTCATCTTTGAATCCTGCGCTTATGAAGCCAGCGTGAGTTACGATCTCTCTGCCAGCACAGCGACTGGCTTTGACTGTTTGGTGAATGTGTCAAACCACAATCAGATCGGGGCTTCTTTACAGTACTTGGGTTCCATGCTTATCAAGGAGCTACGGGGCACTGAGTCCACCCAGGATGCCTGTGCCAAAATGCGGGTCAGTTCGATGATATAATGTGATCTGAGTGCAAGAGGTAACATGTTCTACATTTTAGCCCAACCGTATGTTCTTACCACTTTGTGTATTTGGCTATTTCTTCCAGAGGTCAACAGAGCAAATGAGAAAAGTCCCCACCATTGTCCTCTCGATTACATACAAAGGCGTGAAGTTCATTGATGCAGCCAACAAGGTCAGTTATGTTAATTGGTTATGCTACTTCATCTGAAAAGTCAATTTGAAGCTTGGGTCAGGGTCGTACTTTTGGTGAGTAACTGTAGATTTCAGTGCTTTGTTGGATAGCAACGTACTTGGCACAAATATTCAAGTAGTTTTATTAAGTGCAACTCGAGACACACAATAAAATAGTGGTAGTGAACTCTGCTGTTATGAGGCGGGGGGCTTGTGGTCTTCTACTGACACCTACTGGTTCCAGCTTCACTCCTCATTTTGGTGCCAAAACTACTTGTTAACCGACCAGTGGCTTGAGTCTTTGGAGTATGTTCAAGCTGTAAATTTAGATTCATGACATTGATGCCTTTTTGAATGTATTTTCCGCCTTCTGTCCTGCTCCCAAAGTGCCCCCCCCCAAAAAAAAAAAAATGGAAGCAGTGTTTGTTGGCATATCCTCAGAGCCTTTTGTTATCAGTTGCAGCTGCTGTGCAACAGTGTTTCACATTCACAAAATAGAACTACAATATAGTCATATAAATAGAAACTCAGAAGACATTTGAGAGTTTGAGCTAACCTCTTTCTCGTCATCTTGCAGAATATCATCGCAGAGCATGAGATCCGTAACATTTCATGTGCAGCCCAGGACCCGGAAGACTTGTGCACATTTGCCTACATCACCAAGGACTTGCAGACCAGCCATCACTACTGCCATGTGTTCAGCACTGTCGATGTGGTAATGACAATTGGCACTCGATTTAGCAGTATGATCATAATAATATCAAAATACTGCGAAAGGAAATGTAGAATCCTGGTTGTGTTTTTTTGCGTGGATCCCCCTTCTTTAGGATTTGAAAATCTTAAAAAATGAGCCCTTTTCTCAGTCACTCACTCCGGTCAGAGCACAACATACTGTGCCTTAAGGCTCAAAATAAGCCGTTTCACATCGCAGTTCATGAGGCAAAATATACAAAGTTGAAACTCAAATTTATATTTGTGTTTGAAATTGCCCCTCTTAAAATGTTTCTAGAAAGAATAATTCGCTGCGGTACACAATGTGAATTCAAGAAATAAAAAAATATAAAAAAGGAAACCAGTTGTTAGTTTCTTATATTGCAATTTTATTGTTTAATAAAGCTCTTGCTTCAGTTCTCTGGAATTGACCTAAAATTGCTCCTCTATTCCAACATTGCTCCTCAAATTAAGTCATAGATTTGCAAAATTGCTCTGCAAAGCAAAATAAATTATTTTGAGCCTTGTGCTTAATACATTTGAAAGAATAATACAATTCTGTTATCAGTATAACACAAACTGAAGTTGTGTCAGCAAGAGAAGCGGCAAACAACCCCTTAGCTATTGACTTAATGCATGCAAAATGTCTTCTCAAACCATCGTTTTGCCGTGGAGACAGTTAAGGCAAAAAATGAAATATTTTCGGACATGTCTCATTCGCAGAAAGTAAACCTGTACCCTTTGTGATCACGCTCTCTTAGAACCTTACCTATGAGATCATCCTGACACTGGGTCAAGCATTTGAGGTGGCCTATCAGCTGGCTCTGCAGGCCCAGAGGACCAAACAGCAGCAGAACCTACCAGCGGGCGCTGCTTCAGAGCTCATCGAGACCAAGTCCAGCCGACCTGTGCCCAAACCACGAGGAAGTGTTCGGAAGTCAGGGGTGAGTCAAAATTTTAGAGTAGAAAATACAGAAGAAGAATTTAAGTAACACAGGATTCAAGACTCCATTATTTGGTGTCTTCATTTTGAAAAGCATCCTATGAGAAGACACAGGAGACATTTTTAACATTGCTTGATTCAGTCATTCCCCGAACCGCTTATCCTCACTGTGGTCGTGGTCACCAACGAATGGTGGTCACCGCCTAATCAAAGGTCACTTATACACCAACAACCACTGACACTCACCCAAGGACAATTTATTTGAAAGACTTCAATTAACATAACGCGCATGAACGAAAGGCCTGAGTTGGTCTTTGAACCAAGGAAAACGTGCTAACCAAGACACCGACGTGCTGCAAAGATTGAGTCACCAGAATCATAATCGTCGGTTGACCATTTCTACTTCACATTATCCTCCCACATCACATCTTGCTACTGCTGCTATCCTCAGACGGGATGTTCAAAGAAAAACGCAACATGCTAGATGCAGGCCTCCAAGCTAATCTAATCATCCTCATTTAACCATGTTGATGTTTGCCCGCGGTGAGCATTACACCATGAGTGAGTGTGTGCTGCTGAATATGGATGAGCAAAGTGCACTTCAGGGACACATTTTCGACTGGGGCTGAATTAACGAGCTAATCATCGTGGGGTGTTCAGCAGTCAGTGTTGCATGCTTCTCACATTTTTGTCATGACTTTCATATTATCATTTCTGCCTCTCCTTCCCTGTTGGCTACGACTCTCCTTCTCTGTTGAGTTAATGTCGCAACTTGTACACCGGCATGAATCTTCCTTCCTCCAGTTCACGTGATGTTGCCTTCTGCTCCTCATGGCATTGTTTTTATGACCTTCCCCACTTAGCGACTTCGTAATTGTCTGTTTTTGTGACTCTTTTTACAGTAAGTTTATTATTTTTTTGTGGATATGTTAGTGACACTTCAGTGACAGTGTTACTTTTGGCTCACGCAGTTTAGTCTCATGACTAGAAATGAACTGATTTGAGCAGCGCCTGTTCTTACATGTTGGAGTCAGGTCAACATTTGCCCCACGGGGATAAATATATTTCAGGAATCAGAGTCTCAATAGACCTATTATGCAAAGAGTAGGATAAAGGCATATTGTCATCTCATTTGTGTTTCTAGGGCGCCCTTTTGGAACAGGAGGGAGATTCCCAGTCACAGAGCGGCGCCACGTGGCTCGTGGACCCCAATGAACCAAAGCGTACAATCAGCACTAAGTATGAGACCACCATATTCTGAGTGGACCCCCCCACCCTCCCCTCTTCCTGACATCTGAACTTGCGCCTGGTCTCAATTTTTCTCCTTCCCATTGCCCTTCGTGTGCCTTTCACTGCAACTCCATCGACCCACCCAATCATTCCTTGAACACTTGTAGCAGTCTAATGTTATAATTCCTCTTCCAGCTGGTATTATTTACACTGCCAGCCTGCCAATCACCTTCACTGCTAGTTGCCTCTGTTTACCTTGTATGCTCCCTGAACTCGCTACAAGACACCCTCACCCTGTTCCCTCCAAGCCCCAGTCATGAATCTCACTATTGACTCCTGGTGATAAGACGTTTTATTTTCTCGGTGCTTTTCCTGCTCTGCTAGGGGAAGGCCGCTCTGAGGCTTTTCACTCCTGACACCCATCGCTTTCCCACAGCTGAGAGGCTGCACACATCTTGCACATGGATGCCCTGGTCCTGTTATTATTATTCTTATTTTTTTGTGTATCACTGGGCTTGAACTATTCTGTCTGCTTTACTTTCAGCAGTTAATTGAGATCCAAAGGAGGGAAACATCCCAAAACACTGTGATATAGTCATGTAGCTTAGCATTGAAGCACTTTTACATACTCCCCAAGTCTAGTGTATCTTCCCATGTTTTGGCCTTATTTGGAAAGCGGAAAGGGGGGCTACATCACTCTGTTAATGTCTTTTAGTCCAGTTAGTTTTACTAAGTTTTAACTGTGTGCATGTGTCATCCTCCCTGTAGCTAAACATGGCTGCCAGCCAGTATTCAAGGACAACCCTTTTGAATGATGGTAGGATGTTTTTTTGGGGGGAGAAAGGAGTATTCCCGAACCATCACCAGTCTGGAGAGCGGGGGTTGTTGGTCCGACATCACAGCGTCTTTCACTTCAGTTTCACTTCCTGCCCATCGGAGATGTCTCATAGCGTGCAGAGGGCGTGCTCGACACAGATGTCTATCTTGATCTCCAAAAAGTGAGGAGTATCTTGAGTGTTTGTGTGTGAGTGTTTTTAAGACACAAAAGTAAGTCATAATTTAATTTGTCCTAAATCATCTCATCCTCAACATGTGTAACTGTGATCAGCAATCTTGTACGAAGGGGTGTCTTTATTTCAACCAAACTAAATTTACCAGAGGTAACACTACAAAGACTGTTTTCTAGATATGTAACAGGGTGCAGCTTTGGCATTTGACCTTGTTGCCATGTATTGTGATTTCATAGGACAGTTGTCCTCATGCAGCAACTTACTTTGTCTCCGTGCTCCTTTGTCCAATTAATCTTGTGTGATTATTCACCAAACCTGCCATGCAGGATGGTACTTCTTAGATTTTTTTTTTTTTTTTTTGCTGCAGTGCAAAACTAAATTAGGGAGAAGACTTCTCACTGTTAATGGTACTGTACTTGCTGGCCAGCTGATGAATATACAATGATATCTACATCAGCTAGGGTGCACTTTACAGTGCACTACATAGGTAAGCGCATCCAAGAAATCAGCCACAGGTGAGTCATATCCGTATTTCTTGTGTTCACTGAGAAATGCATAAAAAGCTTTCTTTTCAAAGTGGCTGTACTCGTTTATGTTGAGCACTGTACACTCGTTTGGTACGTCGTCAGACCAGTGGGGTTAAATTTATGGTACACTGTCTTGAACAAGCTAATGAGGGCCCCTTCAGCCATCAGCATGGTCCCATTTTGCCTTTGCATACCACTGAGGCGAAGAATAAATATTTTGGGGCAAATTTGATGCAAAACATATTCTACATGAAACTAGTGGTCTTTATTTTGATACTTGAATGATTTTTGCTTTTATAGATCTCTCTACAGTATGTATGTATGTATGTACAGTATGTATGTATGTAATTTTTGACTTATGTCAAAAGAGATTAAAAGGACTATGTCTTATAAAGTTACACATATCGTTGTAAACACCCTGCGTGAGGCTGAGGGAACACGAGGACCCTCACTTCAGAAAAAAAAAAAGATTGTAAATAATCTTGGGCTTCCCGTTTTTTTTTAATGATTATTTTCATAATTGTTCAATTAATAAATTGCGCAGTTTGAGAGTTTGTCCTTGTTTGTTTTCATTCATAATAGTCATTTTTATGATGATGTTGAATCGGCCTGGGATTTATTTTATTTTATTAGAGTTGAGGGGCAGAGACAACCAATGGTTTAATGAATTAGAGAATGAAAAAAAAAAAGAAAAACTAATGAGAAATGTTGCTTAAATTATTTGTTTGGTTTAACTATTATATAATCTCCAGATGGAACACCCTAAAATGTCGCTAGGTGTAATTATGAGCGCGGACGGTTGTTCGTCTATGTGTGCACTCCGATTGGTTGGCAACTAGTTCAGGGTGCACTCCGCCTACTATCCAAAGACAGCTGGGATAGGCTCTAGCATGCCCACGACCCTAGTGAGGACGAGCGAATTAGAAAATGAATCGACAAAACAAAAAACAAAACGTCAGTTAAGCACACCATTGACAAAAACGGAACTTGGTAAAACTGGTTTTTCATTTGCACCAAACGTTTGGAATGAACCTTAAGGCACCCTAAATCTAGAATTACACCCGCCATTCAGTATTTTAACAAATATTTTAAAATCAACGCTAAAGGTGGTGTAGCACTGTCCTCCGAATATTAAGAAACAGCCCGTTGTTTGATGCCGTCAAATTTGACAACGCACCTCAAAGTACACCTCCAATAATTTTGTGGCATACGAGGGCAACTACTAGTAGACAATTATAACACCCCCAGTAAAGTTATACTATTTGGTTTCATTCACCGAGTTGCCTCTAAATGTGGAGGAAATATCAGCTGGAATCAAAATGAATGCTCCAACAGTTTGGCATACATCAGCAGGATGACATGTAAACACTTCCTGTGTTTCTTGTCAGGAGTTTATTTAGACCCCATTCAGTTCCAGTAGTGCCAGCACATATCTGTCAGGTTGATTAATTGTCTCCACGTGACCACATGTGCAGAGTCGGATTGGCTTAGCACAGGACAGTTGAACCCAAAGTGCCCCACCCTTTTTCTCAGCTTCAGTGGAGGCAGGACTCACAACCTCAGAGATGGAATGACACCCACACACAGCTCACCTCAACCTGCCAACATTCATGTCCAACTGTCTGGTGAGTTATGATTATGCTGTACTACGTTCGCAACTTGATTCCAGTGTTCATCTCTTCCCTCCTTTACTTATGTCCTTCCCCTGAATCAGTTTGTCTTTAAAAACGTTTTTTTATGTTTCCTGAGAAGGTTCGATGATTTTCTTTATCTCAACAAGACGCTCCCCACATAGTCTCCAGCACTTCCTGTTTTCTCTCTCTCTTTTTGAGTCCAAATGACAATTGAAAACATTTGTAATGATCTTTTAATGCAAAATGGAAATTGTTTTCTCGTGAGGGACCCACTGTAGCGTGTGTAATCATTGATTATCTTGCTTAATAGACTGAGTTAAGGAATCTACGTACTGCAAATATTTGCCAATGAAAGCCTGTCAGGGGAAAATGTACTGAGTTTAAACATTAAACAACGCTTCTGTGTTACACAACTTATGTTTAAGTTAATCATTACACTTGAATGCAATTGTTCCATATTGTTACACTTGTACCATGCTATCACACTGAGAATTATTGTTTGAAACCCCCAAGCGCATTTAAAGACATTTGGCTGACTGATCCACTTAAATGTTTCATGGACCTCAAGTGCAACGCCCAGTAACTGCGCATGTCAGCGTTCACTTTAATGTCCCAGTTGTCATGAAGGTATTTGAGCAAGCTAAGTGACATTCCACTCACTATTTCATTCTGACTCAGCTGTGGGTGCACCCTGCGAGTTTTCTTCCTGAGCGCACAGGTGTTGGCTGCTTTAAGGTGCTGAACGTTCCCCCTTCATTCTACAGATTGTCTTCATGGGAGGGATAGTAATTTGCTGGTAGAAAAAAAAAATAAGGAGTGAAATAGTATTTTGGATTGCGTAATGTTTGCTTGAAATGAACCAATGCGTTAGGCCTGGTTGCTTCTCTGAACGTATGTACAGTGCAGTGAAAAAGTATTTACCCCCTTCCTGATTTCTGTGTTCTTTGCATATTTATCACACAGGAAATACAAAATGCAGTTTATCAATGCCAATTTAATTAAGGCACAAAAAAAAAATCTGAAACTACCTGTTCCTGTGTGGAAAAGTAATTGCTCCCTGAACCTATTAATGGCTTGTGCCACCCTTGGCAGCAACAACTGAAATCAAATGTTTGCAATAATTGGTGATGAGTCTTTCACATCGCTGTGGAGGAATTTTGGCCCACTCTTCTTCGCTGAATTGCTTCTATTACGCCATATTGGAGGGTTTTCTAGCATGAACTGCCCGTTTAAGGTCACATCATAGCATCTCAATTGGATTCAAATCCAGACGTTGACTTGGCCACTCCATTTTTTAATTTTATTTTTTGAACCAGTCAGAGATGAACTCACCGATGTGTCTCGGATCGTTTTCCTGCTGCATGATCTAAGAATGTTTGCGTTTGAGGGTGCAAACTGATGGTTTGACGTTCTCCTTCAGGATTTTCTGGAAGAGAGCAGAATTCATTATCTCATCAATCAGAGCAGGTTGTCTTGGTCCTGTGGTCGTAAAGTAGCCCCAGACCATCACACTGCCACCACCATGCTTCATTGTTGGTATCATGTTCTTTATCATCAAATGCTGTGCCATTTTTACTCCAGACGTAACAGGCCACATCTTTTTCAATTTTTGACTCATAACTTTTTAAATTATTATTATTTCTTCTTGAATTTCTTTGGAGCTTGGCATGATATGTTTGTTTCTTGAGATCTGGTAGCCTACTTTACTTTGTCTGACAGATTCTATTTGTGTGATTTCTTGATCCAACAAATGCGGTGCTATGGTGTCGCCTGTGAAATTGAACTCGTTTTCCCAAAACAGTAGTTAGCCAGTCACTTTGTGATTTAACAAAGGGGGTGCAATTGCTTTTTCACCTAAAGCCAGATAGGATTTAATTTTTGTACCCATTTGCTAGTTGAAATCATCACTTAGAAACTGCATTTCCTTGGGTCTCTGTATGATATTAAAATTGGTTTGATGAACAGAAACATTTCTCTGTGATAAATACGCAAAGAATATATATATATATATATATATATGTGTGTGTGTGTATATATATGTATATATGTATGTATATATGTATATGTATGAGAATATATATATGTTTATATATGTATGTATATATATGTATATGTGTATATATATATATATTATCCTCATGAGGGTCGCGGGTGTGCGTGCTA